AAGATCAGGGGTGCGCCCGGAATGTGGTCGACCCTGGAATTGTAGGTATCAACCTTTTTGTTGTTAGCTTCTATCTTCTTTTTGCCCGACTCGATCCTTTTTGTGAGGTCCTCGAGCATCTTTATGATAGCGGGGTCGGCTGCTGACCCGTTGTTGCTTGATCTTTCTAGTGCCTGTTCAGTTCGAGGGGCTGTTCCCGAGGCCGTTATACTTGGGGTTTTTTGGTGACTCTGCAGCTGAGCGATTGCCAGCTGTTGCCTGCAACATCTCAAAAATAACGTGAAGGCTAACCCCATGTTCCTCCCGAGTCGGGGGTTTTTGGACTTCTTTTGATCTCCTTGATGCACGCTCTTGTTAGTGTGGGAGCTTATATCGACGTGTTGGGCATCGCGTGAAACTACGTCCACGGGAATTGGTTCTGATGCCTTCTCAAGGTTTCGTGGTGGTACACCAACACCTGGAACATCCACACCATTCTCTCCGTGGTCTTCAAGATTGTTGTTTTCGCATGCATTTACTGAGTTAGACATTTTGACCTGAAATCAAAGATCTTGGACAAGAAAAAGTGTGGAAGATAACTTGCATTATGTAGTTAAACCAACAAGAAAATAATCACTATTATCTTTAGCCCCACGGTGGGCGCCAAACTGTATACCGTGAAAATGGTAATAACAATTAATTTTGATTTTGTGGTTAAAATAAAATATGATCTATTTTTATGGTAGTTGTTAGGCAATGGATGCTAAGTAAAAGATTAAAGAACAAGATTATAGCTTAGAGACGATGTGATAATCAAACCAAATGACTGGAGGTCAAGGCCTCGAGTTGCCATATAAGAGGCATTGGGGTCGAGTCTGGAGGTCGGCTTAGGGCAATAGAGGGGGGACTAACAGTTATGAGAGCTAAAATGATGGCTCTTTATGATCAATGATAAGCAATAAATAGAAGTAATGAGATCAAGAGAATATGTTAGAGAGAAGAGAGAATGTTCTTGTGTATTAATGTTGAGTATCATATCCCTTTACAAAATGGCAAGGATCCCCTTTTTATATGGAGGGAATCCCCACATAGTACAAATGCCTTTATTACAAAGATATGGAGCTAGTACAACCAATTAGTGCCCTTATGCGGGCTCAGACTAGCCTAGCAGACCTCGTCAACCCTAGCTACGCGTCTTGGAAACTTCCCACTTTTTCACCATACCCACCGATCTATACTGCCTCAAGGTTGGGCGCCGATAGCCATTCGGGGATGAATCTCGATCATAGCCTCGAGCCTTTGAAAACGTGCTTACGAGACATTGTGATGATGGAAAATTAGACCTTCCAATTTTACTGTATACAAGTTGCATTCAGCGTTAAATATCATATCTCAGTCTCTGTTATTGTATATCATCACATCTCATATCATTGATTTAGGGCTGCTTAGCATGAGTGTGGTGAGCCCGAGAGAATGGAGAGATTGATGACTGAGTGAGGCCGAGGGCCTGTTGTAAGTGATATTTATGAGATCGGGTTACACGCCGCAGCAGGCTTTATTGATTCATAACAGGATTTGGCTTATTATTATAGCGCTTGGGCTTGATCGACCCCTTCGGTGTCTGCACATCCATAATGGGCGCAACTGCTAGCAGTTATTTACATTTGGGCTGGATCTGCCCTGGTATATTTGTATTTGGGGCTGGATCTGTCCTAGTTCATTTGTATTGGGTTGGATCTGCTATGGACCTATCATGTTCGAGCTAGATATGTCCTGGGCTGGATCTGCCCTGTACAATACTGAGTGGCTGAGTGTTGAGCATGGTGAGTGAGAATACGAGACAGAGAGATTGAGTACTGTGAGAGTGTGAGTACATGAGTTCATTGCTGAGATACATTATATTTGGCATGCGTACTTGAGATACATGCAGAGAGGTGCATTTCGTTTTGCTACCCGGTTATGGTGACGTTCATGATTTCACCTGTATATTGACATGTAGGCATAAAGATGTATTTTTCTCATGCTATCTGAAAATGAAACATCTTATTTATTGTTGAAAGGTTTTTAGTAAAAATCACAATTTTCAAACTTACTCATATATTTTTGGTATTTTCGGTGAAATATTTGGGATCTACTGTTATACTTGAAAAGTATGCATATTTTCCGTATGTGAACGAGCTGAGTTATTTCTTGTACCATCCTTATTATACTGTTATGAACTGTTGCTGGTCATTGGAGTTGGACACCGACCCTTGTCCCATCTCGTCACTACTTTCTGCCTAAGGTTAGGCTTGTTATTATTGAGTAAATGGGGTCGGTTGTACTCATACTACACTTCTGCACCTTGCGTGTAGATATTGGATGTTGATGTTGCTGCGTACGGCGGGAGCTGGATCGGAAGATGTACCTACGTTCCAGTTATGGCTATCACTAGTCCTTAGTAGCATTAGATTCGAATTCTATTCAATTACAATCAAACAATTGTTGTAGTTATTTCAATTCAGTTTTGTAAAGAAATTTAAATTTTAGACGCTCACGATTTGTACTACTAATCCATTGGAAATTCTTGTATAAAAGCAGTTGTATTATCATTTCTTCTCTTAAGAAATCTCATTAAATTGGATAGTTGTTAATTGGCTCACCTATCGGGTTGGGTTAGTTGTCATCACGACTAGTTGGATTTTGGGTCGTGATAGCTAATATCATCATTTGGTATGTATTAGTTAAACATAGGATAATACCAAATAGGATGTATAACTAATACACGGATGAAAAAATTATACCAAATAAGTAATTAGTAATGTACAAAGCTAATGCTTGCATTGTTTACCTCCTACCAAACGGCCCTTAGGATGCATAAGGATAAAGCTGAATAAGGTGTATTAGTAATGCTGGTATTAGGTATGATGGCATTAGTTATGTTGGCATTAGTTATGCTGGCATATTTCTTATCCATTGTTTGGTTTGATGTATTAAAGCATTGCTTAATTTCTAAAAGAATTATTTATTTACAAAAATATCCTCATAACCAATCTATCACTTTATCTTCTTTTTTTAAAATATATATGTTGAGGAATGTTTTTATATGAAAAAGGGTTTAAAAAATTATTTGATTTGTCTACCTATATTCTAGTATAGAACTAAACATTTATTTATAAAAAAAATATGCTAAGTATATATTTATTTACTAGGGATATAATTTTATTTTCCACTTCCGTGGATTATTTTAAAATTGAATTTACATAATAACATATTTTAATCAAGCATAAATTTTGAAGAAATTTTTTATCTTTAACTAAACTAATACATGCATTAAAACCCATTGCATTGTTAATGACATGGTTTCTTATGCATAGGATATTACCAAATAGGGTATATAACTAACGCATAGGTTCAAAAGGTGTATCAAACAAAGTATTATTAATACACAAAGCTAATGCTTGCATTATTTTATCTAATGCCCTATCAAACCACCCCTTAGGGGTCGTTTGGTTGCCGGTTAGAGTTATGCAGGTATTAGTTAGGCAGGTATTAGTTATACATGAGTTAGTTACGCATGGGTTAATTTTTTGAATATTTGTTTGTTGTATTAGAAACTGGTATATATTATATAAATTTTATAAAATACTTATTTACTGAATTGTCTCTAATAAATTGAGAAGAGGAAGAGCCTAGCAGTGAGACATCAGTATCTCCATGCTTGCTCTCCAAAATGTTTGATATAGATCAATCTATCGAAGAAAGCCTTTATGTGTAAAGTGATAGGGGTAAATTTGTCATTTCATTATTTTATTCAAGTATTACTAATATATGTATGAGTTATTCCATATTCTACCTCGCATAAAATAATACACAGATTGACTCATAACTTATACATGTATTATTTATGTAGATTGTAAAATGACAACCAAACATGGCATTAGTTATGTTGAATTTTGTAAAAATAACTAATGGCTACCAAACATTGTATAAGTTATGTTGCCCCAAATACATGGATAACTTTTCTCCTAACCAGCTACCAAACGACCTCTTAGGGGTCATTTGGTAGGATGCATTGGATAAGCTAATGCATGCATTAGCTTTGTATATTAATAATATATTGTTTGGTAGACATTTTGAACATATGCATTAGTTATGCAAGCATTAGTTATACATCTTATTTGGTATTATCCTATGCATAACTAATGCATAGAAAACAATGGTATTAGCAATGCAATGGGTTTTAATGCATGCATTAGCTTAGTTAAAGACAAAATTGTCCTTCAAAATTTATGCTTGATTAAAATATGCTAGTTAGTATATTAATGCAAGTTCAAATAATCCAAATAGTGAGAAATAAAATTATATCCCTAGTAAATAAATAAATACTTAACATATTTCCTTTTTTATAAATAAATATTTAATTTTATTTTAAATATCGGTAGACAAATAAAATAATTTTTTTAAAACTTTTTCATATAAAAATATTTCTCAACATATGTTTCTTTTAAAAAGTTAGAGTGTGGACCAGTTTTGAGGGCATTTTTGTAAACAAACAATTCTTTTATGCAATGCTTTAATACATCAAACCAAAATAAGAAATATGTCAGCATAACTAATACCAGCATAACTAATGCAAGCATAACTAATACCAGTATTACTAATACACCCTATTCAGCATTATTCTTATGCACCCTACCAAACGACCCCTTAGCGTATAACGGATGGATGAGCTGCCACTAGATTCCGTCGTTCCTAGCAGACAACCCATGTAAAATTTCTTTCTAAACGTATTTTTTATGGTTAATTTTGTCCTTTCTAGTGGCTTTCATTTGTTTGTAATACGAACTTGATGTGTAGGTTTTCGGTTTCTGCACTGTCATCTGGATGTTCATACAACACGGGAAGCAAATATGGCATTTTTGGTGGAAATGGAAAAGGCCCTAACCATTCAATTTTACCTCCTCACCATCTTCACATCTCCTCTTTCTATTGTCAAAAGTTCTCAACAAAAATTGTGCATCTTAAGCACACTCACTCAATTCATCAATCGCAAACCATTCACTTGGAATATTGGATATCCTTGAAGAATGATGAATTCTTATAAGCACTTACAAAATGATGTGAAAATGATACACTAGTATACAAACTATTCCAATTCTACTTCCCGCTACAGTTACAGAACAATAAATGAACTCATAATCCTAAACTAGGAGTGGAATACAAACTTTGATCTCTCCGCCTGCAGTGTAATCAGTTATTGCCATTGCCAAACTACTTAGTTGCCAAAAAATCCCGGACCAGCCCGTGAGAGTAGTTCCTTGCCAGCATCCTCACCCATCAGTGTCATGTCTTCAAAAGTATATGGGCCTTTTCTTGAGGTTTCAAGAACTGAAATCAAGAGAGAATAGAGAGAAAATGCAACAGGTAAGTATTAAGAAGCAGCAGCAACCAAGAAAAAGAAAGCTTCCGTAACCGCAAGCAGAGGCGGAACCCCACCAGAAATTTATATAAGGGATTCAAAAAAAAATTAAAAATATATGACCTAAAGCAACTTTTCAACCCCCTTCACTACCATACTTGAACTTTTTTCTTCGCAGCCTTTGGACTTAGATTTGGTTGAAACTTGAAAAAATGTTTTTGAAATTGTGTTAAAAAATAATTTTTGGAAGTTGAAGTTTGTGTTTGGACATGCATTTTATTTGGGGAAAAAATCGAAGTTTTGTGAGTGGAAGAAAAAATCATCCAAATATGGCCCTACACCAGTTTTGAACTAAAAACTATCATATTTCATGAATAACCACTGTTTTCAAAAAATAAAAATAGAAAAAAAGTAGCCAAAATCTATGGCCAAACGAGAGCTTCATGTCGGGGGGATTCAGCAACTCACATATAACCAAAGAAAATAACTGTAAAGGGCCAAATATACCCTTGTACTATGAGGAATGGTTTAAATATACCCTCGTTATACCTTGGGTCCAAATATACTTTGGACCCAAAGTACAACGAGGGGTATATTTGGACCCAAAGTATAACGAGGGGTATATTTAAATCTTTTCTCATAGTACAGGGGTATATTTAGCCCTTTTCCGATAAAATAATTTATACCCTATTTGCACATTGTAATTTTTTATGACTACTTAGTTCCGCCACCGACTGCAAGCCAATCACACATTTCGCGGGTTTAAATAAAAAAAATTGCTCGTACCTCGAGTTCCATCAGGGGAGGCAACCAATCCTTTGAAAATACAGTCTCCATCTTCGCCTCGACAGGCATATCCAGCAATTGGGGTGCGGCAAGACCCATCCAAGGTCTTCAGAAAAGCTCTCTCACATGCAACTGCTAATCTGGTTTCCTCATGATTTAGTAACGCGATGTAATTGGCCTGTAATTGAAGTTTATCATTAAAGAATAATAGAGAACTGCAATAGAAGCATCTATATTTATGGAAGAAACGATGTGAATACCATTGTCTCATCATCACTTCTGCATGCAATACCAATGGCTCCCTGAGCAACTGCCGGTAGCATATCCTCTATAGGAAGAATGGAAGTGACATTTTCTGTCATATCTAGGCGTTTTAGCCCTGCCAGTGCCAATAATGTAGCTTGGACTACCCCCTCATTCAGCTTTCTTAACCTTGTCTGAACATTGCCTCTGAAATTCTCCAGCACCTATAGACAAAATAGGTTTTCACAAAATTAAAGTAGCTCAAACAAATTAAAAGGTGAAAAATCATAAGAAATGATCAGAACTAAGCCAAATATTATACAGGATATTAATTTTACAATATGTTACTCCATTTCACACATCCCTAACTGTTGTTTTAAAATATCGCCAGCTAATTCCAACACAACCCTAGTCGTCTTATTCACTTGATCTTTCAAGCAAGACAAATGCCATCAGTATCAAAACGTATTTTTTTGAAAAGTACTAAAACGCACTCTTTTATAATATATTGATGTGATTTCAACAAATTACCCCATTTCACATACCCCTAACCATTGTTTAAAACAATTCCAACTAAATCTAACACATTCCTAGTCATCTTTCTCTCTTGATCTTCATGCAAGACAGACGTCATCAACAAAATCAAGATGGAGTGTGCCAGCATAAGTTATGATTGTATCTCGACAACCAACATGAAAGCTTCTAGACTTTCTTTTCAAAAAATATTCTGAGAAGTTATTTGGACTATCAAAACAATGTGCTGGACTTACATTGAGTGATGGATACCGGTGAAGAATCTGTGACTTTCTCCTTAGTGATGCAGTACCCACTGTGCTTCCAGATGGAAGTTGTGCCAGTGAACCAGCAGTCAAAGAAATAAATACATCCCGTACATCTTCACGTGGAAGATTGCAGGGCAAAATTGTTTTGTCTGGTAGATATGTAGGCACATCTTTCATCGAGTGGACAGCAATATCAATTTCCCCATTGATGAGGGCTTCATCTATCTCTTTTGTGAATAAGCCTTTCCCACCAATGTCTGCAAGAGGCTGACTTAATATTTTATCACCTGTGGTTTTTATTATTACAATTTCAATGGCTCCCTCTTCAGCAAGGCCAGGATCTGAGGCTATCAGCTTCTCTCGAGTCTCATAAGCTTGGGCAAGGGCTAGGGGACTGTCCTACACAAGGAATGCATTACGTAATTCATAAGAGAAGAGTTTCTCAACAACACTTCAGAGATAAAGTAATCCACCTTCCCTTCCCCCCTCCCACCCTAAACAACCAAAATGGAAAGAGATGAAGAAAAAAATACATAGCAAAATCTTGAGATATAAAGGGGCTTTTATGCCTCATACATTCCCATTGTTCCTAATAAATTTACGGAATAAGTAATGAACACAAAAATAGTCTTTGCTCCATCACAGGAAACATCCAGTTAGCTTTATAAGACAAGCGACTAATATGTCAGGCAAAAGCAAGGAAAGTAAAAGAAAGATAAGAGGTGTGAAACTACAATAAAATTAATAAGAATTGTTATAGAAACATACAAATAAAATAATGCATACCTGTAAAAGAAGAAGGGTAAAAAATCTATAATCATGCATTAAGAATTGTATCTAATATTGTGACCATCTTGTCTCACTTAATGGCCACATACTAACTACTTGACGAAGAAATTGTATAATGTCTAGTTGTCTACATACTGGTACTAATCAGAACTTAATTCGAAGATGCTTAACATAAGCATAAGCTGATATGGAATGTTAGAGCAGAAGAACACGAAATATAATCATCTACGCATTGAATTAACCATCTACGCATTGAATTCTACAGAGCAATTAGCTCACAGGCTCTTTAACCCACAACTCTCTTTTTAGAAAACACAGAAAATATTGAGCTAACAAGGTGGAAAGAATATGGAGCTCAAAATCCAAGTGTTAGGCTTCGTAATAAAAAAAGAAGTCCGAGCCTAAGACTTGGCCAGTGATAAATTAAAAAGTATAAGCTCTCTGCACTTATGGTGTAAAAGGATTTATACCATCAGGGCACATAAAAAGACAACTACTGGTAATAATTAATAGGTAACCTTAAAACGGAAAGCAATCTTCCATAATAGGTGAAAATACGCTGATAGTATAAAAAATCTTTACGCTATCAGTGCATATAACTTAAACTCTAAACAAAAATCCTGACAACATTCCCCTTTCTAACTAAATAAAAATGTAAATAGAGCAGAACTCACTTCCTTAATATAGCGATTTTATACCTAAAGGTTTTAAAAACTACTAGCCAATTCAATAAATTCAATTTTAGAAATGCTTCAGTTCCCTTCCAATATTCCTCTCCATATCCATAAAATCTCGAGATTTCCTTTTTTTCCTCAGCCAAATTCATAGTAACATCGATAAAGCCAGCAAAAAGATCAAAACTGTTGGAGCTAATGATAAGCTTACTTCTTAGCAAATACTACCACGCCCCATACTAAATAAAACATATAAGCTACTAATAAATATTTTCCATAGTTTATACATCAATAATAAAAGCCACAGCCTTTATCAGCAATAAACAAAATACAACACATTGACGAAAGTCAAATTTTTTATAAAGAATTAGATAGTACCTTCCCCGTGTGCCTATTCTTATGAGAGCAAGCTTAGTTTGGGTCTCCTGTTCTACAGCAATGGAAGCACTTGTGACCAATATCCTTCTGCGTTGATTTGGGAATACAGAAGTGAGGCAGGGCAAGGAAAACACTACATCTGAACTTAAATTAGAATTGAAAGGCTTAAGGCTCGGGCACAAATGAGTAGAAACAGCGATTTTCTCCATTTTGGAGTAGAAATTGGGAGGAACAGAGGGAATCTAGGGAAAAGGGGCCTTTTCATTTTTGGTTTCTTGATTTTGGTTCTACTTATCCTCCAGCTCATCCTGCTCCATCAGCAGTTTAAAAATCCTAAAAGTGGTCAATGGACCCCGCTTACCATCTATTCAGCCAATTCGATGCCGCCATCTCATTTCTCACCTTACATCTCAGCCAAATTCATGAATCAATGATTGATTATTGTTTGTTTGTAAGAAGGAAAATAAGTCTGCTTTATGCAACGGAATTTTTACATTCCTACGTTATATAGTAAACTATATTACCCTCCGTACTTAACTATTAATATAATTACCTTCTATATACCTAATTATTATTTATGTACTATTTTAGAATTTTAATGGTATTAATTAGTCTCCTAATTTTACTCAATCATATATTCTTACTCCCCCAAGTTTCTCTCTCCAAATCCTCACAATTTCCTCTTCAATCACCCACAATTTCCTCTTATAAAACTAGCGAAAATCTGTAACCCTCCACCATTGACAACCATTAAAAAGCTTTGAAACTTTGAATTCGAATTTGGGTTTTTAAAAGACATTGTTTGTTTGGATTGGATATTGTTGCAAAGAATTGAAAATTCTCTCTACGTCTCTCTCTATCTCTCAATCTCAAATTTCAGTAATATATGAAGAAGGGAAAAGAGAGCAACAATTCCACCATTGACAGTCATTAAAAAGTTTTGAAGCTTTGAATTCGAATTTGGGTTTTCAAAAACCATTATTTGTTTGGATTGGTTGTTGTTGCAAATTATTGGGAATATGGTTTGGAGTTTATATCTCAATTTTGAGGGGTTTTGGTGAAGATTAGACTTGGTTTTGGCTGAATTTCAGAATCAGAAGAATAATAATAATAATAATAATAATAAGAAGAAGAAGAAGAAGAAGAAGAAGAAGAAGAAGAAGAAGAAGAAGAAGAAGAAGAAGAAGAAGAAGAAGAAGAAGACGACATGACAAACATTATATTGCAGAAATTGTAGAAAAATTGTATTCTGTTGTTTATTTATTTTTGAGCTTTGTGCTTTTGTGTTAAAAGTTTGATGGGAGCACTTCGTTTGTTTTGGAGCTAACTTGTGCAGAGGAGAAGATATTTTTTAAGTTATATATATTGTTATACCTCTAAATTCAAGAAAGTATGGTTGTATTGTATTTAAAGAGACGTGAATTTGTAGAATAGGTTGAATGTGAGGAATGAGTCAAATAAGACTCACAATGGCTTGTTTTCGGGGACACAGAATTGAGGAATTGAAATTAGGTTGTGTTTCATCTATTGATCAAGTTGCTATAGTCAAAAGCCATGCACATGACCATATATTTATAGCTTGTTTGGCCAAGCTGGAGAAATCAGCTTATTTTGAGAAGTGCTTTTGAAAAAAAAATGCTTTTGAAAAAAGTATTTTTGGAGAGAATCAGTTTGTGTTTGGCTAATCAGTCTGAAAAACATTTGTGAGAAATAATTTGTGTTTGGCCAAGCTTTTTAGAAAGTGTTTTTAAGTGTCAAATTACGAATAAGGGCATGAATAGATTTACTTAATAACTAATATTATAAGTAAATAAATAATATCAATTTTTTGTTATTACATGCAATAATTAAAAAAAAATCATTTTATTTAAGTAAAATATGAAAATAAAATTAAAAAGTACTTAATTCTTTTAATATAAGTTAAATATATTAAAATTCCTTCAACAAATATAAAAGCATTCACCCCTAAAGTCACTATATATTAGAAAGTTTCCTGAAAATAAGAAGAAATATTTATAAATTAATATCCTAAGTATTAAGTTTAAGGGTTATTTTGGTATATACTATATTTTGTTAAGGGTATTTTAGGTAAGAAGAAAAGCCAAAACTGCTTCTGCTTCTGCTTTTGGAAAGAAGCTACTTTTTTCTGCTTCTCTGAAACTGCTTCTGTTTCTTCCCAAAAACACTTTTTTTTCTTCAAATAAGCTTGGCCAAACACCTCAAATTAGGGGAAAAAAGTGTTTTTGGGAAAAAAAGTATTTTTTTATCTTGAGAAGCTTGGCCAAACATGCTATTAGTTGCTTGAGGATTGTAAAGTAAAGTGAGGCACATGACCAATTTTCTAGTTGCTTGTGGATTTGTAAAGTTACGTGAGTTGAGTGCGGATGCACAAAATGTCTTCTTGACTTTGCAGAACTGAGCATGTGGTGCGGATGTACAATTTACTACCATAAAATTGTATTCTTTTGTTCATTTAACTATGGCGTATATCAGTATGGATTTTCACAATATCTATAAAATTTCTATATTTATTCTACAATAAAACTACATATCATTTTAAAAATTAATATGAAACTACAGAATTTCAATGTTTCTACAAAATTTCTACAAATTGTTCATAACAGAATTTATCTTTATTTTCATGCATGTTCATCTAGAACACTAAAGTTACTTGATATGCCAACATCTCTCGTTATAGAGGAATACAACTTATCTACAAATTTTTACAACTTTCATACATTATTTTCACCCAGTTAAATACAACTACAATAACATAAAACTTACATACAAAATTTATACAATATGTCTTTTGTATATATTGTATCTGATTTATACATAGTAAAAACAAATTTCATACAACTAATTATATATTATACAACTTATCTACAACTTATCTATAAATTTCGTACATTATTTCTACTAAGTTATATACAACTACAATATAATACCACTTAAATACAATTTTTATACAATGTTATTCAACTTTCATACAATAAGTAAATGAATAAAAGAAAAATAAATAAACAACAGTCTACAATTTTTCTACAATATAATGTATGTCATGTCTTCTTCTTCTTCGAGTTTCAGTCTGAAATTCAGCCAAAACCAAGTCTAATCTTCACCAAAACCCCTCAAAATTGAGATATAAACTTCAAACCATATTCCCAATTATTTTCAACAACACCCAATCCAAACAAATAACGATTTTTGAAAACCCAAATTTGAATTCAAAGCTTCAAAGTTTTTTAATGGTTGTTAATGGTGGAATTGCTGCTATTTTTTCCTTTGCTTTGTATTACTGAAATTTAGAATTGAGAGATACAGAGAGACGTAGAGAGAATTCTCAATTCTTTGCAACAACATCCAATCCAAACAAACAAATATCTTTTGAAAACCCAAATTCGAATTCAAAGCTTCAAAGCCTTTTAATGGTTGTCAATGGTGGAGGGGTTACAGATTTTCCCTTGTTTTAGAAGAGGAAATCGTGGGTGATTGAAGAGGAAATCGTGGGGTGTGGTTTGATACGTGAGTGAGGTGGTTGTAAAATATCTGGAAGAATATTTAATTCTCCAATATTAGCGCCCCTAAATAAGGAAGCCTACAGCTACAATGATTCCTTATTTAATGAATTGTCTATATTTTGTAAAAATACTATTAGCATGACGGGTAATATGCAAACTATGAACATATTTGGTAATATAGTTTCCTATATGTTATAGGAACGCAAATTTCCCTATTCCAACAACAAAGAAACCAAATGCAAGTATTGATGAATTTTGCGGAAAATGGTCATATTTAACTCTGGCCCGATTAGAAATAAGTCATATTTATCTTTGTTTTACATTCGAAATACAATCAAACCTCCTTGTAACAGTTTCGATTGTTCCTAATATTTTTGAATGTTACAACAAAATGCTGTTATAGAGAATATATATTATAACATAATATAAAAATTAGTTTCGAAAAAACTTGATTTTTATAGTGAGATATTATTATATAGGAATGTGTATTTAAATTTCTACCTTCATATTTTTGGTCATATTTGTCCCTACCCGTTAAATAGCCTGATGTTAGCTTTAAAATGACATGTGGGCTGGCGAGGGCTCAAGTTTAAACATTGTCCATATGATCAAACCCAGCCGACCCATTTAATTCTCCCAAACAGACCGAAAACCCACAAAAAATAATAAAAATTTGAATCATACCCACTTCTCAAAAATCAATCCTTGATTATTGTAAGTTATTTTTTTTACTTCCCTATATTGTATTTATTTTTAAATTTTCCTGCAATTCTCTTTTATTCTTGTGTAGTAGTTATTTTTTATCTCGATATTTCTTGATTATGTTTTTCTTTTATTGATGGGATCGTCAAAATGAGGATTTTGAGTTTGTAGCTAATTACAAATTCGATTTTATTGTGTAAATGGAGATGAGATTGAGTCTTGTAAGTCACCATCAATATTAAATATGCTAAAGGAACCACGAGGTGTGCTAAGAATTGGGAGTATTGTATTGATAAATTTTACCTTTTCGATGTGGCATGCTAAGAAAATTCCATATGGTAAGTAAGACTCATAAATGGAGATAAATGAAGGGATCTGATGCTAGGTTCCACAACTCTTTTATTCCGAAAGTAGTGGTTATCGAAGGGTCAATTTATCTAAAATGACGAACGTATATATTCAGAGATCCAGTAAATCGCGCCTATGAAATCGTGGTCATCGAACGATACATTGAGGTTGTTGCTATTATTAAGAATCGTATTTTTTACTACCCATTTCTCTAGCGTGCTGGCTTAAAGCTCAGAGCGGCAGTGCCTCTCTTATGACTATAAGTACCACCCTTGCGTCTCGAGAGAGGGACATCGAAAAACAAAGAAAAAAGCATTCAACGGAAAGTTATCAATGATCTTCTTTATTTAATTTTGTTCTTTAGTATTGTTCAATCATCATAGAGATTGTTAGCACAATAGCCGATACAGCCTATTGAGGCTAACTTCTAATAAGATTCTCTTTATCTTTACCTTTACTTTATTTCATTCGTTATTTACAATTATTGCTTCCCCCAATCAATTTTTGGATCTTGCTAGAGGCCTTAAAATATATATTTAATTGTTTCTTCCAAAATTAGATTTCGAGTCAAACAAGGTCAAGCAATTCCCATAGCTCCTTCTCCTCGGCCTCAAGGTGAGAAATCATGAGGGGTATGTCCAGCTCACCAACATGCGCCTCGTGAAGGATAAGGAGTCGAGTTTCCACAACCACCCAGGCGTGATCCAAAGT